TTAAAAAAATAATAATAAAAAAAATCATTTTACCGACTTAAGGACAGGTGCCTTTTCCCTTTGTCGGATTAAGAAGCCGCTACTGTGAATAAGAAGTCTGCCAACTGTGTACCTACTGTCCATAATTAATTCATATACAATCTTTTAAGTACAGGCTTTTCATTAGTATTTTTGGAACTAAAATTTGTAGTTTAATGCTTACTGGAGTAGTACAGAAACAAACCCATTGATTTGACAGGGTTTTATTTGAAATTATGAATAAAACAGGTCAAAATATCTTATTGAAGAAAGCTAATACATCTCTGTCCCAGTGAATGTCAGGTTTATATAGCGTTGTACCAGACAAGTCTGCAAATCAGCTGTTTCATCTGCAATTTGTTAGAGGTTGTCCTTGTATTCCATCTAATATAGCGAGCTGCCGCCTGGAAGTCCTGTTGTGTTAAACTTAATTACATATAACCGAGTTACAGTGTGAGGTTTGGTTTGGCTTGCTGTGTGCACTCAACTTAGTCCTCAGGATGTTTTGGCTACCGAGGGCAGAGCTGTTTGTAACGTTGCAGGAGGATGCGTTTAATATCCGAGTAAATGATGGAGAACACCTTGACTAGGGAAAACTGCTCCAGCCACCCACTTTCATTTGCCTGTTGTTACGAGAGACATTAATTTGCAACCCTTATTGTAAATTTTCCATTTTGTGTTGTGTTCTGTTCTATTTCTTTTAAGTAAAGCTTCATTTTTTTTTCTCTGTGATTTTAAAAATCCTTGTTCCTAAGGTCACTAAGATGTACTGTAATGTAAGTAGTGAAAACTGCATAGTGCTTTGTTCAGGGATGTGCAGGAATGGGCTCAAAGCCTGGACCAGAGGGATCAGTTTCACTCTGCAGTCTGGAATATTTCCATAGTTATACCAGGGGGCCGAAATGTGGTTTCTTTTACAGAAAATAAATAGAAATATCTTTTGGGGGTAAGCTTACAGAAATATAGATGAGATGTAGGTAATCTACCCATAGCTCATACTCCTTTTATCTTCTCTGTAGCTATTTTAGGGGGAATGTAGAGTGGTTTTATGCTGAAGAAGCATATTTCTTTACCAGATGAAATGATGCAAAAATCTTAGTTTAATTATATGTGACATATAATTGGTCAAGTTGAACAAAATATTTCTGAGCTTGTTCGACTTGTCACCGTGGAAAAGCAGTGCTTAGTAGGGTACTAAAACAGTTTTTGTCAAGTGAAGTAATTGGGTGTTTATCAGCAGAGCTGAAGAGAGGTTGAATGGAGCGACTCCTCAGATGGAGAGGCTGTGCCTGTAATGGCAGGTTCTCCTGCAGTTACTGACCAGGTAGAGCATAATATATCCTTTTGCCTCAGCTGCTTTGTGTCTTACTGTCCTTTAGGTAGAATATAGGGCTAAATGTTAGTGTCTCGAGGAAGCGTTGCTGATCTGTGATAATTTCAGGAAGTTTTCTGGTGGTATGAATGCCTTAATTCCAAACCACAAACTGCTTTCTCACTACGAGTATTTTATTGCAGGTATCTGTTTGAGACAGCAAAAGCCCTAATACTCTGGGCCTGGTAGCTTTTTTAGAGGGAAAGAAATTTTGGATTATTCTAAAGTGTTGCAGAGAGAAAATTTGTCCTTTTTCCCTCCACCAAGGATTTATAAGGGTAAGAGACCATGGAAGATAGAAGAGACACAAATAACTGAGCAAAAGCTTTAAATGTCAGCTTTCCTTGCCAAACCTTTCTATGATGCATTATGCTTAAGAGGACATAATATTGAGTCATCTGTTCAGATCAGATAACTAATGAACAATATTAATGTTTTCCTATCCATATTGTTGGTAAAATAATACACTGCTGTAGAAATTGAAATGGAGGAGAGGTCATGTTCTGAGCAACCATAATTTGCTTTGTGTTTCCAGCATCATCATG